TAAGCAACCGAACAAACTGCAGCTTATCAGCACCGCGGTCAGTTCCTCACATTGCTGAGCTGCTGTAGCTCCAAGTAGGAGCAGCTCGACGAAGACAGGACCTGAAAATCCAACATGGCTGCTGTGCCCTTGACCCTTTTATGCACTGGCATCAATTTACCCCACAGGAAATGATCCTCCAACCGATTCCTCTAATACAGTAACCTCCCATCACTGACCCAGCATGTGTCCGAGGTTTCCCAGCCCCAGCACACTTGAGACTTAGACTTAGAGTGTATATAGTACAAAAAAGCATAAATAAAAATGTAATGTCCTGGAATGGAATCCCCTTAGATATAAAATTATCTGCAAAGTAGAGAGCTAACATAGAAGTTGGTTTGGATAATTGCACTTGTACTGCAGAGATTTACTGCCCTTATAAATAACAAAAAAATTACACAGGCTACACAGTAGTTGGCATGTGTTATTGCACAGTGAGAGAGAAGAATATTGCACGAGTGACAATAGGTGATGTTTTGCACAAGATGTCCAAGGAGGAGGTGATGACCCTTGTCCCTCTTCCTATCACCTCCTCCTTCCCCCAAGTGAGGAGTTGTGCATCAGTCAGTTTGTCCTGCATTTGGGGAGGAGCAATCTCCCACTGATCAGGCTCCTCTGAGCAGTGAAGACAGTGAGCAGAGGGTGGCTGGCATTGTTCATAATGTCCAACAGTTTGTGACGTGTCCTTGTCTCTACCACCGTCCCCAGAGGGTCCTGCTTGTTTCCTGCTTGCTGCAGTGCACTGAGAGACATTTAATTAGCCACGCCCCCTCGTTCACTCTTTGAGCTGGTGTCAATGGCCTGTATCTCCTGAGCAGAGTAAGGTTTTTTTTATGCGCAAAGCAAGAAAGAAATACCAATAAAAACAGCTAAACTGGGGGCTGGAAAACTAAAGTAAACATATGGATTTTCCTCTTTACCTAAAATGATAATTCCACCTTCCTCACTAATGACTGTTTAGATCAGCCTTTGTTTGACGTGCTCAGACAGGTTTCAGTGTTCAAAGGCAAGGAAGTTCATTTCTGGATAAAATACCTTCAGCTGCTCTGGTTCTTCACTGTTCCTCAAATAGCTGGTAGCTAGTTGTAAAGTCATAAAGGATTCATTACAGGGATTAACCTCCTGCCAGACAACAGGTTGACCACTTAACAAGTTTAAAGATGAGCAGAGAGACGTCCTGTAGGCGGTGATGATTCTACCTGGTT